CCTCATTTCTCCTGCAGGAGCAACTTACATCAGAGCTCCACGAACATTATCACTCAGGGATCTTTCAGAAAGAAGGCAAGTGCGATACTCGGTGCCACCCTCTCATCTTTCAGGACTGTGCCCAAGTCCACCTTCCCCCATGCCCTGTTAACACCGTGAAAACAAATTCAGAGACAATAATATAATGGGTCAAAGATGTTTTTTACCAAGCCAATGAAAATCCTTTAGAACATGGACAAATTAGCAACACACAACGCATGTGCAAGGCCATATAGTAGAGGGTTACGAGGGTCCCCCCCAATTCCCAAGTATTCCTCCCCGACTACTTGGCTATTGCCTTAGCCTATTGCCTTAGGTTCTCCATTTAGAGATGCACCCTTTCGACCTGAAGTAACTACTGTTAAAAATATTAGCGTAAGCTAATCAAGTCTTTCTGGAGAGCAAAATTTAAGAGGAAAATCCTAGAAAGAGAACATCATTAAAGTGAGCACGTGGAGTCCAAAAAGTGAGAGAAACACAAAAAGGGTGAAAAAAAGTGAAGCGAGGGCCTCGAAGACGAATCGTACTCACTTCCCAATTTTGTCTCCTACTGGAAATCAGTTTGTGGAGGTCCGGTGACCAGAAGTAATGATACTCTCGAGCCAAAGGGACGCAGGTTTCCCCTCAGAACCTGGCCAGGGGCCAACAGTAGGAGGCAAACAACAAACCACCAGCGTCAGTATCCCACCAGAGCTCCATTGGTCTCTAGGCCAAGGAGGAAGGGGGAATGGCCAGCCTGCAAGATGTGCCAACTCCATTCTGGCAAGCAGCGAGAGATGTGGAAGCCACATGGCCTTCACATCCGGACACCAGGCGGGCTGGACATTCCCTTACCTCCCCACCTATCACTGTCTGGGTTCAGCCATTTCAATCTAAGATCCAACTGTTAAAATCAAAGTAGCATAACCACTCAGTCATTTTACACAGAACTGGATTTATAGGAATTTAACATTTAAAACAAGCAGAACTTCTGTCATCATCTTTGCAAAGACTAGGTAGTTAGTTTCCGTGGTATACTTTTTTGGAAAGAAAAAATCATTGCATTAATTGATAAAATCCCTATTCTCCAGAACGCTAAACTAAAATATAAGAAAGTTACCAAGATCACGGAGTTTATCCCACACAAACCCTGTTAACCCTCCACCCTTGCCACCGAGCGCCCCTCTGCCAGCTGGAATAGTGTTGAACATTAATAGCACTCCAGAACCCCCTCTGCCCTCAAAGAAATTCAGGCTAAAGTTATATCTAGTCCAGTTTTATGTGGTACCTTTAAACTGTCATTTTTCATTTTCTAAATCTATTCAGGAGGTAAAAATCTCAACAGTACCAACGGGATAGTGTGTAAATAACTCCCTCTTCCTCTCTCCCTCTCTTGACCTCCCATCCCCCAAGACCCTTTCCTAGGAGTACCACTCACTGATTTAAAATATGTTTCATCATCTGGATGGGAGCTATTTTTTAAACTTCAAGAAGACCAAAGTTCTAATGATTCAGGATCTAACGAGCAAGTCCATATTCATTCTATCTACGTGTTTCGTTATTTTGTAGACTTTGAACCTGTATCCTCTAAGCCTTTGTCCTGAACCAAGAAGTCTTCTTCATAACTAACCAAAGGAGAAAAATATTGCTCCTGATGACTCACAGAAGGCCCCTAGACGCTTTACAATCCCAGCCTCAGGCAAATCGAATCTTCTAAGTTTTTTAAATCAGGTAGGTGACAGGTTTTCTAAAACAGGGCATTAGCAATCATGTGTGTGGGAACTAAATCCCTTCATTTAGAGCAAACAGAGTGATCACGCTAGGAAGTCTTGGTGGCTAGTACCTCCAGCTCTGTTAAAAATTAGCTGCCTTCACTTGCTCAGCAAGTTCTGGCTCTACAATCATCCCCTCCCATGCTCTAACTCCATTCCTTCCCTTTTAAGTCTGGATCCTTCATTCAGAGCGTGCAGGGCACAAACGTGGGCTTTGGAGGCAGGCAGACTTGAAATTAGTTTCTGGTTCTGTCGCTCATTAGCTGTGGGAACTTTCACTAAGACTCGTTTTCCTTAACTGTAAAATAAAAAATAATAGAAATGGTGCCTTCGCTGGGTCGTGAAGAGGGTTCGATGGTACACTTTTTGAAAAGCACTGCGTCATGATATGATCATGATAATGACATGATCTTTGGGACTCGATACAAAATGGAAAGTTGGGGCACCTATTCAGAAACTATTAAGGATGTCAAGACAATGACAGCAGAGAAGTGGGACTGCACAGGTGGCAACTCACGAAGCCAGCCCTCCCTTTCAGATAATAACAAATGGTAGCTATCATCATTTTACCACTCTCCTAACTTACATCTGCGCCTTACCCTCCCTGCAGGCTTTCCTATCCCTACATAACACGCAATCCACTCAACCTGGAAAGGTTTATGGGGTCATTCCAAACACAAGCACTGTGTCTCAGAAGTAACCCGCATTTACGTGGAAGATGACTGACCACACCAGGGGAATCGAAAACAGAAGGCGATGTTACCGCAGGCTCATACCGGACACATTCCCACCTTAGGGCCTTCGCTCCAGCTTTTCATCCAACTGAGCTAACATTCTCCCCTCCTTCAAGCCTTTGTTCAGATCCACTTTCTATCGGAAGCTTATTCTAATCTCTCGATTCAATATCATTCATAGTTGCGCTTCTTCCATCCTGTTTCCTCCATCTCTTGTACCTTGTTCTTTTATGTCTTCCATACCACTTACATTGTCTGACATATTATTTCACTTACTTCTTTGTTAGGCTTACCATTTATTGTTTATTTCTTCTACACAGACAGACAGACAGACACACACACACACACACACACACACACACACACACACACGAATGCATGCTTCTCAAGGTCAGGAATTTTTATCTGCTTTGGTTCACTGATGTATCCCAACTGCTTAGAACAGTGTTAGGCACATGGAAGATATTCAATAACTATTAATGAAAAGAACAAATAAACCTTTAAATGAATGCATAATCAGGCCATTTCTTTTTTCCTGGAGGTAAGTCCATTCCACATTACAGACAAATGGCAATAACAACCAGCTCTGCAACTGGATACCCAAGAGAGTTCAAGAAACAGATGGGAAAGTTATCTATTTTCGGATCTCTGCCAAACTCCCTTAGTTTAGAAGGAATATAATCCAGTCGTCTGCGCTACTAAATCCAATACCTCTTTCAACACTAATTCGTATACACAGTTTTTTGGCAATCACTTGCGGCAATCATGAGTGGCATTTTATATGCGTGAGCTGCCCAGAAGAGTGATGTGTCCCTAAGTGGTGAACATAGTCATTTTTAAAAAACAAAATTAAAAGAAAATGACATATTGCTGCTTCATTATAATGACACAGAAAAGCTGAACCCTTAATCCCAAAAGGAACATAAGGCCTCTGCCTCTGAAACTGTGTATGAAGATGTTAGAGCCAGTCCAAGCTCTCCCGCCTGGAGTAATGTCACAGTCACAGGTAGCATCTCAAACCCTGGCCTGTGATCACACAAATACAAGTCATGGGGCCCAAGAAAGGAAATGGGGACACCTGTGCATAATTCATCCCACCTGCCCAAAGACAACCCTGAAGCTGTGCATTTCAGTGGCTGGATGGGACATTCTCACAGGGTTTACGAACAAAAGAGAGGCGCCGCCCCTCCGCACATGGTTATAATGCAGCCCCTGACGGCAGAAACATCTGCAGCAGCCAATTATCAGAAGATATCTGAAGGCCAAGGTGCTCTAACTTCTGTACTGATGACAGGAAGCACATCTGGGCCCCGAATCCAAATGCAGCCCACGCGGTCTCCTCGGGACAGGCTCGATGAGCAAAGCCTGGCTGATCACACTACACATCACATCTGGCTTTTGCCCCAGCATGAACTACCATTCCCTCTCGGCCCTGCGCTCTGCATTTTTTAAACAAGCCATTCTCGGCCACCACAAACACTTTGGTGGGAATCACAGGGAGGCCCTCATCCCTTTTCTCAAAATAACATCAGGCGGAGGCAAAGGCCAAAGAGGTGGAGTCTGAAGGCCATTTTGCAAAAGTTTCAAATATCCTGGCACTGACCCTATTAAAAGAATCATGAAGGGGAAACAGCCAAGCCTCTCGTTTTCTCATTAATGTCCTCCCCCACCCATTTCTGCGTTTATAAAAAAGACACAAAGAGATCTCACATACAAGTCATTCACCAGTGCTAGCTATGGGGAACAAAATTCCATTTCACAAATTTAATATCAAAAAATGGAAATCGAAAACTTTCAAAGACATGTGCTTGCTCTGTGACAGTTTAATCCCAGAAGGGGTCTCAGACGGAAGACTGAACGAGGAACTGGTGAGCTGTCCCACCGTCTCCAAAGCCTTTCTGAAATATGCAACTACCTCAGATTTTCCATATGCCTCTGAAGAGGGAGGAAGCAGATTTCTTGGCTGTATAAATAAAGCGATCCTCCTCCCACTACAAAGGAGCCTTTCTAAAACACACACACGTACTTCTTGAAATATAAACAAAAAAGTAAAGGAAGAGCAAGAATATGACAGCAAAGGAAAGAATGCTAGCTTATTTTGTTTAGTTTTTAAAAACATTCCCACAAAAATCGGCAGCAAACTAAACAGACATATTATTCTCAAAACACCTTACCTTTCGCCGCTTTACAGTACTGATGGCAATAGAAAATGATATTACACATATGGAAAAGCCTGGGGGGAGGGGCTATAAAATGCTAAAGTAACACTGTGTCATAACTATTATTGAAAGTTTAAAAGGATCAGCTGCCCACTTCTACCTATTCAGATAGAAAACCACGCCTCTCCCCAGATCTCTTCATTCTGGGCTTGCCTCTTCCCAAATACTTCCATCCCAGTTCCCTGTTCCCAGCTGTTCCTCTGATGACAACACTCCCCCTTTCCAGCCGCCCCTTCCTGGCCGGGCCAAGTCCTCACCGTGTGATACATGAGAGCCTCGCTTTCTCCGGGCTCTGACAGCTCGCTCAGCTTGCGGTCCCACTGCAGGACGCTCTGCTCCCCGCTCTCCAGCACCTCCATGGTGGTCCGAGGCGCGCTGGGCCGAGGATGTTGAGGGCAGGAGGCGAGCGGGCAGAGCCGCCTCCGAGCGCGAGATCCGGCTCCGCGAGTATGTGTGTGTGTGTGTGTGTGTGTGTGTGTGTATGTGTGTGTGCGTGTGCGTGTGCGTGTGCGTAGTTTATGCACTTAGGAAAATGTTCGCTCCCTGGCCTGAGAGAGAACTGCCAAAAGCTCCCGTCCGGTATCCTCGGAGATCTGAAAATCCCCGGAGAGACAGGCCGTCCAGGGATCGGGCAGAGAAGGCTTAAAGGGGTTAAAGCACGGTGTGCATCCAAAATGAAGGTAGATCAGCTCTAATCCCAAGAAAATTCTTTCTCAGTAAGCCCACTTTCCACAACTGCTCCAGACACAAACTTTGAGATTCCCCAGAGCTCCCCAGCTCGACTCCAGGACCCAGCTGCGACTCCACCTCCCTCCAGGGCAGCAACCAATCGAATGCTCACCTCTCCCACCCTACCAAATCAGAAGTCTTTCTCTCCGCCATGTCCCGCCCCCAAAAGCAGGGACTGCGGGAAGTCTCGGCCCAGACTTTGGAATGTGGGCGGGAGGTGCCTTTGACGTCACCGGGGCACTCCTCCTGCTGCAGCAAAGCCAGCAGCCGCTGCCTGAGGCACCGGACCAATGGAGGGCTTGGGTCCGAGAGTGATGGACTGGGGTCTTGGCCAATGAAAAAGGGGCGCCTCGGAAGGCCATCCAATCCAATAGCGACAAGAATACATTTTTATGGAAGAGGGTGGTGCGCTCAATCTTCTTGCGGAGGCTCCCCAGAAAATAGCATGCGCATCTAAAGGAAAAGACTGTTGCAGTGAGGGCGGACTTATATACCGTACTAAATATTATCAAGTAGATTAGTTCATTTGAGTCTTTGGGGATTTTTAAAAAATGAATGACATATTATACACAAATATAAATATTCCCCATTGTGCATGAATTCCTAATATCAGAGTTCTAGCAAATTCATTGCTTGTTCTTCACATTTTTTGTCTTTTTTGTTATGCCCTTCTGCTGACATGTTTTTTTATGTGCTTCAGTTATATTTTTCCTTTCATTCACTCAACAGACACTATGATTCTTAAGAGCCAGTGGCTTGCGTTTTCGAGTCCCAGGGCAGTCAGCTCACAGAACTTTTCTCTCATTGCAGGAATCAGGCAATAAACAGATAAATAAAGACATAAGTTCAGAAACTAGTAACTACTATAATAAAAGCAAGGTAAGAGCATGGGTCAGGTCGATGCGATGACATTACAGCAGTCAGGGAAGTTCTGGGAAGGTAACTGTTGAGCGCAGACCTGAATGAAATGAGGTTTGGGGAGGAGTTTGTGTGTTCCTGACTGACAGGGAGGACAGTGTGGCTGCAGCATGACGTGCCAGGCAATCAGCGATGGGAGAGAAGGCCCTAGAGATGGGCAGCAGCAAGACCACAAAACCTGATTAGATTAGTAAAGGGCCTATTCTAAAGTATTTCCCTCAATGTTGTGATTTTTCCACCTCCTTTTAGACTCCTTTTACGAAAACAAGGTCCTTGAATAGATAGTTTGCTCATTTTAAATATAAGGGAGGGTCTGACAATTGACTGGAATTTCCTTACAATGGCACATTCAGGTATTAAGTATTTATTTGTCCCCGTGGCAAGTATTTTTTTGGTGGATGGGGTCAGGCAAATGTCCTAGCACTCTGTGGTTTTCAAGCAGCAGTTTATCACGGAAACTTCCATTCGTCCGGTGCTCTCTCTCGGGTCTCCTGAGAACATTTTAATGCTCAAGCGGAAATCCTAGTGTATGGTCATGCACCTTCCTTATGTAATCATTTTCTCATTTTCCTCTTGGTCCTTGGTTTTTATTTTCCAGCCTGCTACCCCCTTCGTCACATCCTTTTCAATAGATTACCCTTTCCGATTTTTAAAGAACTTTTTTTATTTTTTTGTAGGATAACACTCAACACAAGCGAAGAAACATGTACACCCTCCTTCATATTGGAATATAAATGTTTATCTGCCAAACATTTCTGCTTCCGACAAAATCAGGCCCCGGTTATGACCCATGTGGAAGGCAGCTTCTAAGATGCTCCAGAGATCCTGCTTCTCGGTGTTCATGCCCTGTGTAACACTCCCCTTGACTACGGGCTGGACCTGGGGACTTTCTTCTAACGAACAGAATATGACAAAAGTGATGGGCTGGCAAAAGATTCAGGGCCCTGCCTTGCTCATTTTTTCTTCCTCTCTTGCTTGTGTGCCCTGAGGGAAGCCATGCTGTGAGCCACCTTATGGAGAGGCCCGCATAGCAAGGAACTGGGAAGGTGTCCAGCCAACAGCCAGCAAGGAACTGAGGCTCTCAGTCCAGCAACCCATGATCACTACCTGAATCCTGCTATTAACCATATCAGTGACTATGGAAGCAAGTCTTCCCACAATCAAGCCTTCAGATCACTGCAGCCTTGTGAGAGACCCTGAACCAGAGAGCTCAGCTAAGCCTCACCTAGATCCTTGACTCACAGAAACTAAAGGCTTAAAACTAATTGTTTTAAGCCACTAATTTTTCCTTCATAAGATAAGTAATATAATAACTGATGTCCTAAATGTTTAATTAAATTTATCTGTACTGTAATAGTAATATCACAATCAATACTGGTGAGTTTTTTCAGCCTCCTTGGTTTTCATGTATTCTTCTCCCATGCAATATATGTAAGGCTTCTCACTAGCCCATGTCCTGTTTTACATCTTAAGTCTAGAGTTTGTCCCCTTCCCTCTCATTTTTAGGAGTTAGCAATTTCGTTGACTCTTTTTCCAGCACTTGCTCTTTTTTTTTTTTATTAGTTTCAGGTATACAACATGATTCAATATTTATATATATTTTGAAATGATCACAATGTCTAGTTATAGTCACCATGCTGTACTTTACACCCCCAGTACTAATTATTTTATAACTGTAAGTTTCTACCTTTGGATCCCCTTCACCCATTTGGCCCACCCCTCATTTCCTGCCTCTGGCAGCCATCAATCTGTTCTTTGTATCCATGAGTCCAGTACTTTTTTTTAATACCCCACATATGAGTGAGATCATATAGGATTTGTCATTCCTCTGTCAGATTTCACTGAGCATAATTACCTCAAGGACCATTCATTTTGTTGCAAATGAAAAGATTGCCTTTTTTATGATTGAATAATATTCCATTGTGCATATATACCACATCTTCTGTATCCACTCATCCACTAATGGACACTTAGGTTGCTTCCATGTCTTGGCTATTATAAATAGTGCTTCGGTGAACAAAGGGGTGCAGCTATCTTTTCAAGTTAGTGTTTTCATTTCCTTTGAATACTCAAAAGCAGAATTGCTGGATCATATGGTAGTTTTAATTTTTAAGAATCCTCCATACTGTTTTTCATAGCAGCTGCACCAATTAACATTCCACCAACAGTGCACAAGGGTTCCCTCTCTTCCACATCCTCGCCAACACTCGTCATTCCTTGTCTTTTGATAACAGTCATTCTAATAGACGTGAGGTGGTACCTCATTGCATTTCTCTGATGATTGGTGATACTGAGCACCTTTTATGTACCTGTTGACCATCTGTATGTCTTCTGTGGAAAAATGTCTGTTCGGATCCTCGGCCCATTTTTTAATCAGATTTTTTGTTCTTTTGCTGTTGAGTTGTATGAGTTCATTATATATTTTAGATACTAAGCCCTTTTCAGATATATGATTTGCAAATAATTTTTTCTATTGCAATTTTTTTGTTGGTTTCCTTTGCTGTGCATAAGCTTTTCGGTTTGATGTAGCCTGCTTATTTTTGCTTTTCTTGCCTTTACTTTTGGTATCAAATCCAAAAAAATCATCACGAAGAACAATGTCAAGGCGCTTACTACACATGTTTTCTTCTAAGAGTTTTATGGTTTTGGATCTTACAGTCAAGTCTTTAATACATTTCGTATGAATTTTTGTGTATGGTGTAAGATAGTAGTCCGGTTTCATTATTTTGCATGTGGCTATCCAGTTTTCCCATCATCATTTATTGAAGAGACTATCCTTTCCCCATTCTTGGCTCCTTGTGCTAAATTAACTGACCAAAAATATGTAGGTCTATTTCTGGACTCTCTGTTACAATGATCTGTGTGTCTCTTTTTATGCCAATACCATACTGTTTTGATTACTACGGCATGGTAATGTTGCTTAAAAACAAGAAGCATGATGCCTCTGGCTTTGTTGTTCTTTCTCAAGATTGCTTTAGCTATTTGGGTTCTTTTGTGTTTCCATACAAATTTTAGGATTGTTTGTTCTATTTTTGCGAAAAATGCCATTGGAATTTTAGTAGGGATTGCATTGAATCTGTAGATTGTATTAAGTAGTATAGGCATTTTAACAATATTGTCTTCCAATGTATGAGGATGGACTATCTTTACATTTATTTGTGTCTTCTATTTCTTTCATCAATATCTTATAGTTTTCAGAGCACAGGCTTTCACTTCCTTAGTTAAATTTATTCCTAGGTATTTTATTTTCTTTGATGCAACTGTAAATGAAACTTTTCTTAATTTCTCCTTCTGATTGTTATTAGCATATAGAAACAAAAGATTTTTATACTCTGGTTTTGTACTCTGCAACTTTACTGAATTCATTTTTTCTAACAGTTTTTTAGAGGAGTCTTTAGGGTTTTCTACATAAAATGTCAGGTCATCTGCAAATAGCAACAGTTTTACTTCTTCCTTGCTTATTCAGATGCCTTTTCTTTCTTTTCCATGTACCTGTTGCTGTGGCTAGGACTTCCAATACCATGGTGAATAAAAATGGTGAGAGTGGGAATCCTTGTCTTGTTCCTAATCTTAGAGGAAAAGTTTCATCTTTTCACCATTGAGTATGATGTTAGCCATCGGCTTGTCACATATGGGCTTTATTATGTCGAGGTATGTTCCCTCTATACTCTTTGTTGAGAGTATTTATCATAAATGGATGTTTAATTTTGTCAAATGCTTTTTCTGCATCTAAAATGATCATATGATTTGTATCTTTCATTTCGTTAATGTGATGTATCACATTGATTGATTTGTGGCTGGTGAACCCCCCTTGAGTCCCTGGAATAAATGTGACTCAATCATGGTGTATGATCTTTTTAATGTATTGTTTAATTCAGTTTGCTAAAATTTTGTTGAGGATTTTTGAGTCTATATTCATCAGGAATATTGGTCTGTCATTTTCTTTTCTTTTCTTGTTGTATCTTTGTTTGGTTTTGGTATCAGGGTAATGTTCGCTTGGTAAAATGAGTTTGGAAGAGTTCACTCCTCTTCTATTTTTTCAAAGAGTTTGAGAAGGATTGGTACTAATTCTTCTTTAAATGTCTGATAGAATTCATCAGTGAAGCCATCTGGTCCTAGAATTTTGTTTGTTGGGAGGTTTTTGATTACTGATTCAAACTCCTTTCTAGCCATGTCTTCAGATTGTTTCTTTGCTCATGATTCAGTCTGGGTAGGTTTTATGTTCCTAGAAATTTATTCATTTCTTCTAGGTTTATCCCATTTTTTTGGCATACAATTGTTCATAGTAGTATCTTATGATCCTTTGTATTAACTATGGTATTGGCTGCAACTTCTCTTTTTTCAATCTGATTTTATTTATTTGAGTCCTTGTTTTCTTAGTGAATCTTGTTAAAAGTTTGTCAATTTTATCTTTTCAAAAAACCAACTCTTAGTTTCATTGATTTTTTTCTATTGTCTTTTAATCTCTATTTTAATTATTTCTGCTCTGACCTCTATTGTTTCCTTCTTTCTACTAACTTTGGCCTTTGTTCTTGTTTTTCTAGTTCTTTAAGGGGTAAAGTGAGGTTGTTTAGTCAAGATCTTTTTTGTTTCTTAATGCAGGCATTTATTACCATGAATTTCCCTCTTATAACTGATTTCATTGCATTCCGTAAGCTTTGGTATGTTGTATTTCTACTTTCATTTGTCTCCAGGTAAATGACTTCTCTTTTGATTTCTTCTTTGACCCACCAGTTGTTCAGCAGCATGTTTAATCTCCACATATCTTTGAACTTTCCAGTTTTCTTTTTATAATTAACTTCTTGTTTCATACCACTGTGGTTGGAAAAGATGTTGATTTCACTCATCTCAAATTTATTAAGATTTGTTTTGTGAACTAAAATACGATCTATCCTGGAGAATGTTTTGTGTATGCTTGAGAAGAATGTGTATTCTGTTGCTTTTGGATGGAATGTTCTGTATATATTTGTAAAGTCCACTGAATCTAATGTGTCATTTAAGGCCAATGTTTCCTTACTGACTTTTGCGTTAATGATATATTCATTGAAAGAAGTGGGATATTAAAGCCCCCTATCATTATTGTATTGCTGTCTATTTCTCCCTTTGGGGCTGTTAATATTTGCTTTATATGGTTTAAGTGCTATGTTGGGTGCATAAATATTCACAGATGTTATATCCTCTTGTGGGATTGATCTCTCTATCATTATATGATGATTTTCTTTGTCCCTTATTAGTCTTTCTCTCATAGTCTAGTTTGTCTAATATAAGTATAGCTACCACAGCTTTCTTTAGATTTCCATTGCCATGGAATACATTCCTTGACCTTCACTATGTATGTGTCCATACTCTGAAGTGAGTCTCTTTTAAGCAGCACATAAATTAGTCTTGTATTTTTAATTCATTTGGCCACTCTATGTCTTTTGTTTGGAGAATTTAGTTAATTTATACATAAAGTGTCCCTTAAACTACATATACTCTATTTTTTTCTTTCTGCTGCCGTGATTTGAAGAGTTCCACTGCCCTATCTTTGAGGTCACTGATCATTCTTCTGCTTCATCTGTTAAATCCTTGTCTTGTGTTTTTAAGTTCAGTTATTGTATTTTTCAGCTCTGTGACTTCTATTTGCTACTTTCTTATATTTTCTCTTTGTCGAAATTCTCACTTTGTTCATCTATTCTTCTCCTGAGCTCGGTCAGCATCTTTATGATTATTATTTTGAACTCATTACAGGTAAATCACTTATTTCTGTTTCATTAGAGTTTTTTTTTTCCTGAAGTTTTTTTCTTGTTCTTTCATTTGGAACATATTCCTCCATTTCTTCATATTCCTTGACTTTCTATTTTGGTTTCTATGCATTACATAAAATAGTCACCTCTCTCAGTCTTGAAGGAGTGGCCTCATGTAGGAGGGTTAGCATTCAATTCTACTTTAGCGCTTGTCTGTCTCTCAAACCTTTGTCATTGTCAAAGCAACACATTTTATTCTTAGTGGCTCCCAGTAGTTGTGGGTGTGCCAAAACCTGCCACTGTC